ACCCACCTAAGACATGGACCCACCTAAGACATGGACCCACCTAAGACATGGACCCACCTAAGACATGGACCCACCTAAGACATGGACCCACCTAAGACATGGACCCACCTAAGACATGGACCCACCTAAGACATGGACCCACGTAAGACATGGACCCACCTAAGACATGGACCCACCTAAGACATGGACCCACCTAAGACATGGACCCACCTAAGACATGGACCCACCTAAGACATGGACCCACCTAAGACATGGACCCACCTAAGACATGGACCCACCTAAGACAAGGAACAGCCAAAAATGGGGGTGAGTTTTTTTTTGGGTGGGGGGGGATTTTCTATTTGTTCAAAAGTTTTTGCTTTTCATAATAATAATATTTCAATTCAGCGTAAAGTTGATTCACTACATAGATTACACCTTACCCCTCCACCCACCCACACACCGACACCCACACAATGCCGACAGATTCAGCACAAAGTGATCAAGTCAACTAGATCTTACATGTGTGTGTGTGTGGGTTGAGAATGTAATCTTACATGCATCATCTTACGCCCGTTTGACCCACCATTAAAAAAACAAAACAACAAACAAGATTCTGTTTTAATAAAGTCTCGGATGTAAGCAGTCCCAGGTCTCCCCGTGGTCCCCATCACGCCATGGTTCAGTGAACGTTGGATGAAAATAGTGTGGTGGGGGTGGTATGGGGCGTCGTGGCATGGGGTGTGACGTGGCGGGTTGGGGGCGTGGCGGGATGGGGGGCGTGGCGGGATGGGGGCGTGGCGGGTTGGGGGCATGGCGGGGTGGGGGCATGGCGGGGTGGGGGGGGGGGGGGGGGGGGGGGGGGGGGGGTGGGGGGGGGGGGGGGGGGGCGTGGCGGGGTGGGGGGGTGGTGGGGGCGTGGCGGGATGGGACGTGGAAGGTTGGGTTGGGACGCAGTGGTGTACGTTGGGGAGGATTGGGTTGGGTGCGGGCGGGAGAGGTGTGTTTTGTGGGGGCGTGACGTGTTGAGGATGAGATGAGGTAACAACAAAAACAAAATAAAAATTGGAAAAGAAAAACAGTACCATTAAAAAAACCAACAACACAAAGCAAGAGGCTATGGTAGAGAAGACAAAATATTTTTTAATATCTAAAAAAAAAAAAATACAAATTTAAAAGATATTCATCTACCTAATGGTATTCCATTTTCTAATTGTACTCTCTAACAAACTGTAGATACACGCACACACACACCAATGCTTTCCATTAAACTTTTATATTATACTCAACACACACACACACTTGTATGCACTCACAGCTTGACACCGGCCATAACCACAATACATTTAGATCTATTTACATAAACATACTATACAATTCACAAGCTCGCCAATGTTTAAATTAAAATACAGTGACATTTCAATTCCCTTGAAAAGAAACCCGTAAATATTGATTGAGTAGCCAGCCAATGGCAAAGCGAAGAACGAACAGGACATGGAGCAGACGTCGGTTTTGTGCAGTTATCATAGCACACCTTATATGGTTAACAGCTCATCCATAAAACACTATTCTGTATCTAACAATCAACTAATCCCACTAACGCTACCAGATGTTCATGAACGAGCAAAATAAAATTTCCGATTACTGCGCTAAATGAGGTTCTTTCAAAATACCGCAAGTCCGTTTGGTGCGTAATATTTTCTTTCTTTTTTTTTTTTTTTTTTTGGTTTTTTTTTACGGGAAAATTTGGTGTACCAAAGCTTTGATTAAAAGGTGGTTGGGTTCATGAACGAGCAAAATAAAATTTCCGATTACTGCGCTAAATGAGGTTCTTTCAAAATACCGCAAGTCCGTTTGGTGCGTAATATTTTCTTTCTTTTTTTTTTTTTTTTTTTGGTTTTGTTTTACGGGAAAAGTTGGTGTACCAAAGCTGTGATTAAAAGGTGGTTGGGACAGTAGAAAGAATATTTGACCGAGCTGATCCCCATTGCTACCGCTCAGATGCACAAACCTGTAAATAACACACCCTCCATTACTCTCTCAGGTGTGAAGATTGAGTTTGCTCGAACAGTGCGAAACCTCGGTGTCTACTTGGATAGAACACTAACTATAGAAAAATCACATTAACATGCTTTGCAAGGCGATTTTGCTCGAGCTGCGCAGAATTACCCATGTCAGACCTTTCTTAACGTTGGATTGCATCAAAGAGGCTGATGTCCGCATTAGTGCCATCACTCATGGACTACTGCAATGCTCTCATGGCGGGTCTTCCGTCTACGCTCCTGGATGGAATTTTAAAAAAGCATAGAATAATGCGGATCGCAGTGTTCTCCGCAAACGCAAATTCGACCATGCTAAAACACTTCTGAGAAAGCTGAATTGGCTGCCTGTACGCGCCCGCATGGAGTACAAAATTGCATGTAGATTTTGTATTGTTGCGTTTTGTATTTTATTTGTGGAAACATATCAACTGTCATATACGGTTGACTTTGTAACGCATTTCAAGCCTTATTTAGGGATGAATCGTGTTTTAAGATGAACTTTATTATTATTATTATTATTATTTCAGGGGCAGTGGCGTAAGGGTGGAGGAGGGGGGTAGCACTAATTGGAAATCTCATAAAGTTGCGTTACTTTAATGCATGTTTTCTCAAGTAATTTTAAATAGATGTGAAACTTACGCGTATGGGCCGCCTATAGCTATAGCTAGCATGTCAAAGCTAAAATCCCAAAATATATTGGATGGCAAAAAAAAAAAAAAAAAAAAAAAAAAAAAAAAAAAAAAAAAAAAAAAAAAAAAAAAAAAAAAAAAAATAAAAAAAAAAAAAAAAAAAAAAAAAAAAAAAAAAAAAAACAAAAAAAAAAATGGAAGGAAAAAAAAAAAAAAAAAAAAAAAAAAAAAGAAGAAATATGAAGCAGAGAAGACTTTGAGGGAGACATTTCGAAGGAAGATGAGACAAAAGACAAAAAAAGTTGGACATTGATCGCTTCCTAATGCACTATACAGTTTTTTGTGTGGAAAAAAACAACAACAGGAATCAAGATTTACAAAATTGAATAATATAAATGTATGAAAAGATTAGTTCCAATTGAAATTTATCGGCTTATAAAAAAAAATATCAGATGATGTTTTTAACGATACATAAATAGCTCTGGAAATCTATTTGAATAGACATTCGCTTGCTGCATAAATATAAACATATACGACTGAAATGTGTAGACCCTTTTTTTGCCCACCAATATGACATTATGCAAAAAATAAATAATAATCACGTGTTAATTACTTCAGGAGATGTTGTCAAATACAGAGCTTACATGGTTTGGTCCAAATTTTGCAATGGAGAAAATAAAATAATGTACGAAAAAAATATCGGATGTACAAATATACAAAAAATGAGGTAATATCAAAGGTTAGATTTAAGAAGTTATCTTGATAAAAAAACATGGCTAGATAAATAATCAATCATTTATTTCAGTGACACCTGGAATTAACGCAAACCTTTGGGACTAAAGCGAAAAAGGTGGTGCTATTTGCAGGGATGGTCTTAAAGCCGGTGCTAAGAAATCGCTGCGTTCAGAATCGGTTTAGCGCATGAGCCACGGACAGCGCTACTTCGAGGTTCGTTATTTTGCCAGGTTTGAACTCATCACAAATCCAGGTTTGATTGCATCACAAATCCAGGTAGGTAATCTGGGTGGCGGTGACGGAGCCCAAGAAGCTGAGGATCGAACTGGCGACGATCACGGCCGTCGTGCTGTCCACAGCAGTGACCACGGTCCCCATGATAACGGACAGGACGAACTGCGCCAGGAACACCATGCTGCTAATTATAGCCACGTCCGTCCCCAGGCCCCTCACCTGCTTCCGGTCACCGTGGAGCTCGTCACCGTGGGAGAACTGGAAAGGAAGTTGAAGGGAGACAACTGAACAAGTGCGCAGTACTTAGTGTGTGTGTGAGTTGTTTTTATTTTTTTAACGTTTTGAGAATTCCACAATGCGGCAGGCTAGATTATATTGACCTCACTGCAAATCAATAACAATTGAAAATACCGACAGCTCTTGATCTCTTACAGTTGATACTCACAGCAGCTCTTGAGATCTCTAGGCAGCTCAGTTGTTTTGGTCGAATGTCTTATGTTTAATTGCGTTTGCTAAAATTATTTACGTTCAGATAGTCTTGTTTTATGGAATTCTAAAGTAATGTTCTGTCATTGGCTGACAGACTTTGAAAAGTTTTTAAAAAAAATGGTTTTCGAATAAAGGACGAGGATTATCAGTAATATTTAAAGCCTGAATTGGATTTTTCTTTTGGTAGCAGAGGTATACGATTAGCATTGTAAGAACCGGTGAATTTTATTTTTCCAACTATGAGAGGTAAGGTAAACTTAAAAAAATAATCTTTTACAAAGGCAACTTTTTAATAATTCTTTTTTGTCACTCTACCTTTCAAAATCACCCCACTATGAAGCAATAAGCACTTACCAGACCTCGCGTATGGTAGTGTGCCACCAGGAGATAGGGCATGGTGAACAAAGTGGCGTACATGATCCCTGCTGCAGGGGACAATAGAATGACTGCCACTTTGCTGCGCGATGCAGCCATCCCGGCCATCCCCAGTGTGAACACCAGCTGGCCCAGAACATAGACCCTTTTGGCTCCTGGCGGAGAACAGAAGGAAATTGAAGCTTGATAATATCAAGTCCTGATTTGACAAACGCCCCCAAATACAAAACAAACAAAAATAAAAAAAAGTAAAATAAAAATATTTAAACAATTTAAAAAATAAAATATGACAAGAAAACTACCACAAAAAAAAAAAACAAAAAAAAAAAAAAAAAAAAAAAAAAAAAAAAAAAAAAAAAAAAAACAAAAAAAAAAAAAAAAAAAAAAAACAAAAAACAAAAACAAAAAAAAAGAACCAAAATAAAACCCCTACAACAACAAAAACAACAAAAGCAACAACAACAAAACAACAAAAGCAACAACAACAACATGTTCCGTCGTCCACTTGTAAAGTTTCGAGAAATGACACCAAATAACCTATGTAACTAAACGAAAACAATAGGTAACATAATGATTACTTTGTTGTTCCTCAGCAGCTATATAGTAATTATTTTATTGGGAAACCCTTTCAATCACAGGTTTCCAATCTATTTCGAGTCGAGTCCAATCCCACCCCTCTCTCAATGTTTAATTTAAAAAAATATGGGTAGCGATTACGAAAATGTAAAAAGTCTAAAAGGAAAATCATCAGCCTATTGTTTTGCCAGTAACCCTGTTGTTTGGCTTAAAGCATCTACTACTAATATTTCATTTTTTCGAGGGATGCGGTCTCTAAAGCGGCCAAGAGCTTCCACGGTTTTTTTGTTGTTGATTTGACTACAACACCGGCCAAGATTGAGTACTCACTGAATCTCTGCACCAGCTTCTCTATCCCCAGGGAGTAGCAAGCGCACGAGAAGGAGTAGAGTGACATCCCGAAGGAGCCCAGCCTGACGCCCTCGTCGTATTTGTCGTGGAGTTCACTGCCCACCGGGGCCTTGGGGTCACCGCCATACACGGACTGTCCTGAAACGACGAGAGGGGAGGAGGGGCGGGGTTGTGAGGAATTGATAGAATCATCATGGCAACATGAAGGGACATCTCTCTCTCTCTCTCTCTCTCTCTCTCTCTCTCTCTCTCTCTCTCTCGCCGCGAGGGTAGTTAAAATGACAATGGTTATCAAAATATGTCATCATCAGCCTGCACCAGCTTCAACCGAAACGAACGCCGACGTCATCAGTTTGATACATCATCACCAGCACCAAAATTCTTTACAATTAAAAAAAAAAAACAATTCAAACTACGGTATGGGCAATAAGAGTTTTTAACAACATCATCAATAGCATTTAAAAACTTTAACTTTATCATTATCAACAACCAAACAAAAAAAAAACAACAAAAAAAAACAAAACAAACAATAGCAATACAAGAAACAACAACAACAACCACAACAACAACCACAACAACAAACAAAAAACAACCAACCAAATAGTTGTTCGTACTGACTACAGAATTGCATGTCAGCGTTGAATAGATGGTGTGTTATTATTCAAGAAGTACATTATACCATGAAGATTAGCTGGTAACTAAATGTGCTGCATTTGTGACTGCAGCTCTCAAATAGTGCCAACGTCCCCATCCCTTTCTGTTGACAAAGCTTCAATAGACACAATTTTCTATGTAACAATGACACTAACACTACCAGGTGGCGCTGTAGACCATTCTCCTTGTAACAATATCACTCACGCTACCAGACGATGCTCTACACAATTCTCTATGTAACAGTGGCACTTAAAACTATCAGATGGCACTGTACACACTTCCCTATGTACAATGTCAATAACGCTACCAGATGGCACTGTACACACTTCCCTATGTACAATGTCAATAACGCTACCAAATACAATTTGATAAAATGTGTTGTCATCGGCAACGAGTGTAAGTCCCAAGTTTCAGCTCGATAGGTTGACAGGAAGTCAGCTTTTGTCGGCCAGCCAGAAAGCCAGCGAGCCACCCACGAACAAAAGCGAAGATAATATAAGGGATCGTTCGCAAATTGCGTCACGATCGGGGGGGGGNTTTTAATTAAATTTTTAAAAATTTAAAACTATCTCAGTTTGAATTTTTAAAAATAAAAACATTAATTTGAGGTCGAAATTTCCTCAGGTATAATAACTAAGAAGTACCGTGAAGGTCATATAGAAAAATGACGCAAAAACTGTTGTAGCCATTTTTACTTTCGGGTCAGGGAGGAGCGTTTTGAGTTTTACGTCACAGTTTTCTAATAATACATCTTAATCCATTATGCGGTAAATGTTACAAAATAAAATCAAATCTTAGGTTAGCTATGAACATTTTATGTACGTTTTAAATTTTTTAGGCGTGACGGGACAGTAAAGGTTGGGTGAGGGGGGGGGGTAGGGGTAAAGAATTTGTGACACTTTGTGGCGGGGGGCGGGGAGGGTCTGAAAAGGTTCTTTTTTGGCGTGACGTAATTTGTGAACGATCCCTAAAGGAGTTAAAAAGATGCCAGTACGTCGTTCGGGTGTGTTCTGCAACACCCCCCTCCCCCGGCTATGTATATTTATTATACTTTATAGATATTTTGTTCAAATACTGTCATACTGTTCGAAAATAAAAATCACTGACCTAGTCAATAATGGGCATTAAAACTCAGTTGATAAAATGTACATTGTAAAATGTTTAGGTAAACAGAAGATGCCGTACCAAAAACAAATGCCACACATGGCGTAACGCCCCCCCCCCCTTTCTCGTACGAACTTAACGCCCAATTTTTCGGCATCATACGGCTTTTTTGTTGTCTTAAGCTTCACGTTCGGTAACTCATAATCTCTTGTGTGCTTAACTGGACAGAGATTAAAATATATTTTATTTTCGACCAAACCTGCCGTAAAGATGGCCTCAACATTTGGCCACAAAATTTCAAGAGAAATATTATACTTAAAAGTCTTTGATTAGACAAAATTTAAAGCCACTATAAATGAAACAAACTAACACACATACACACACAAACATACAAACAAAACAAACCACGACAATAGTAATGAATGCATATGTGTCTGATAGAAATTGGTTTTGGAAAGACACGCAAACACTGACCTACGAAGTCCGTGAAGTAGAGCGAGTAGCACACCAGAGACATCCAGCACAGCAGGTTGCACAGGCACAACACCCACATGGACCTCGGCATCCGCACGATCGACCGCAGGTACGTCCTCAACGTGACGTCAGCCGACACTTCAACGGTGTCGATGACGTCAGCGGGCGGTCTGACGTCACCGTTTGTTGTGCTGTGGCTATTTTTAGCATACGGGTTTATCTCATCGCCCCGCGTCGAAGAACCCGGGGGCGCCGACGCCCCGCGGTTACCTTCAGAAAGAACTCTCGCGTTGTTTATTGTGTTGGTATCGAGAGCGCCCCCTGCTGCCGCTGTAGAATTGAACGAGGTGTACTCACTGCTGGGACGAACGTCTTCAATGCGTTCTCTTGCAGTAGAGTCTACCCTGCTTAGATTCTGGGAACCTTCTAAATTTGACGTGCCGAGAGAATGTCGCTTATTTGCTGTCCCTGGATGAGAACCACTGGCTCTGTTTAAATTTGCTGAAGTGTTCAAACGATCAGCTACGGTACCGTTCTGTTCCTTGGGCCCGACGACTTTCTGGGCAGCTGATGAAGGGTAGACGGGGCATTGTCCTTGTGTGGTTGGGGAAATTAAGTCAGGCTTTTGTTTGCCAGCGTGACCCTTGTTATTTGATTCCGAGACGGAGCCGTACGTAGGAAAGTTCTGAGTCGCGTCATTACCGATGACGTGCCGATGGTGGACCTCCTCATCCGAGGACTCCTCGTTCGTAAACTTTCGGTATTTCGATTTACCGACTTTCTTCTTCGACGTCTGCATCTCGGCGTTCGTGACGTTGAGCTCGGCCAGCGGGATTTCCCTGAACGACGTGAGAGTCGAGATGACGAACACGAAGAACGCGACCAGGACGATGGAGAAAACGACCCGTATGTGGCCGCCGAGCGCCTCGCCGAAGCTGGTGGCGTTCCAGTCGATGCCGCCCATGACGTAGCCGACGGTCCCTCCCAGGCCGGCCATGACCGTAAACATGGTCAAACCCGTGGAGTGGTCCTCGGGCACGCAGACGTCCAGCAGGTAGGCCCGGCACGGCGACTGACACGCGTCACAGTTGAAGTCCAACATGGCGACGCCAAAGATGGTGAAGATGATTCCCCGGATGTGCTCGGGTGGGAGCGTGAAGGAAAAAACAAGACTCGATTTTTTATTCAAGTACGTGGTCTCGTTCAGGAAGGTGTACGAAGAATTTCTCCCAGGGTAAGCGTTGATAGTCTCATTTCCAGAATCGCCCACCCAGATCCCCAGGAGTTCTCCGTTCGGCACCAAACACAGACCCAGGATAATCCCAATGGACATGAGGATGATGAAGGGTCTTCTCCGCCCGAGTCTCAGACTGCACCTGTCGCTGAGCGATCCCATAATCGGCACGAGGAAGAATCCCAGGATCGGGCTCAGGCACCAGACCATGCTCATGAGGGACGCGGGGACGCCGAGCTTCAGCAAGATCGGGCTGACGAATGCGGTCTCCGCTGCGTAGCAGAGCTCGATGCCGCACACAGCCGCACTGATTCTGATGAGCTGCATCTTCGACTTTCGCAGCGGGGTCCCCGTTCGTTCGTCATGGAGCTCCTTTTGCGTGACCAGTCCGGCGAGGCCGATCCCAACATACTGGACGTACGGGTTGCTCTTGACCGTTTTCAGGGCCCTCAGGATGCCCAGGTCCATGATGTCTGGGGCGTCACCGGTTGGCTGAGGCGCTGAGAACGAGCGCGGTCGGGGCGGACATAGGTTGTTTACGTTCCCGGAAGAAAAATGAGGCTTGTTAGTGAGGCCTTGGCGTGGGGCTTGGAGATTAGGCTCGGAAGTTGGGCGTTGACTTGAGGCTTGGAGATCGAGCTCGGAAGTGAGGCTGGTTTCGGACCACTCGTCTTGACAAGGGCGGCCGGTTAGGTGAGTCTGTGGAGACTCGCCAAGCTCATGGTCGCTGCTGTCAGGTAAAGAGTCAGAAATACGCGCCACATCACCAAGGGTGGATCTTTCCCAACAAATGTGATGGGGCTGATGAGGTACTCGTGACGAGGTGTTAAATTGTAAAAGTGGCGCCCTCTCTGTCTGATCCTGTGAAAATTTTAAGAGAGTGATAGGTTATACAAAGTGTTTAATACCATTATTTGGTAGTGCCCATTACCACATAATGTATTTCACTTCCTGCTGTTACATGACATATGCCATATGCCATAACTACTACAAGGGTTCTTAAACACTTTTTTTGCAGCGCCTCACCATATCCTGCTATCAAAACATTTTGCGCACCCCCCTCTCTTCGATTTCGAAACACATTTCCTGCACCCTCACGACAAAAGAAGGCTTATGTACCCCCCTTACCCGGGTTTTCTGGGTCCTTCCGCACATTTTGTTGTTAAAAACCATTGTTGTAGAGTCATTTGATTACAAAATACCCCATATAGAGACCAAAAAATAAAGAATTTCACAATGATGAGGATAATGATGATAATGATGAGGACAATGATGAGGATAAAAATGAGGATAATGATGAGGATAATGATGAGGATAATGATGAGGATAAAAATGAGGATTAGGGTGAGGATAATGATAAGGATAATGATGAGCGTAATGAAGAGGGTAATGGAATGATGAGGTAATGGTGAGGGTAATGTAAAGAAGAGGGAGATGATGAGAGTAATGCTGCGGGTAATGATGAGGGTAATGATGATGATGATAATGATGAGGGTAATGATAAGGGTAATGATGATGGTAATGAAGAGGGTGATGATGAGGGTAATGATGAGGGTAATGATGAGGGTGATGATGAGGGTAATGATGAGGGTAATGATGAGGGTAATGATTGGGGTAATGATGAAGGTAATGATGAGGGTAATAATGATGATAATGATGACGGTTAAAGAAAGCGAGTTAAAGGGTTTGATCATAAAGATGAAAAAACTAAGAAAATTTGGGCAGATACAGTTAATTAAATATTTTTAAAAATACCTTTTAAAAAAATCCTAATTTTTCTGGCTAATTTAATTCCCGACATATTCCCACAAAAAAAAAACAAAAAAAAAACAACAACAACAATAACAAAAAACAACAACAGCAACAAAAAACAACACAAATCAAACAAAAACAACGTGATTGATCGCGCCAAAGACATCCCGACTTCAAGACGCGTCACGTGACAGGAAATCATAAATTGGCGCTGATGGCTGTATTAATATCCCATGATTCAGCTTGGTCCTGTCACCAAGTGAGACAACCCAGCCGCGCCAGGAAAGGGGGCACGACTCTCTTGATCTGCTGGTCTAAAGATTGCCACGTCAAATAGGAAAAGCCCTCAGAATGATGATCGAAGGTGCCAAGCTCATCTTAGCATCTTTAGGCCCGGATTGGTGACGTCAGAGGAAGGGGGGGGAGGACTGGCGTTTCAATTATTTTCGTTAATTTCAAGGATTAACAAATAAGACAAACACAACTACTGAGAGGGTTTTTTTTTTCACTGTGTTTAAACACTGCCGTTCCTCGCCCCAAATCCATGTCTAAAAACATCCCACCTTACACTCACACTTAGACAGCCTTAATCGAACACGAACAAATATCTCTACTCTATCCAACCCAATCAATTATCTCTACTCTATCCAACCCAATCAATAAGCTCTACTCTATCCAACCTGATCAATTTTCTATATATATCCAACCCAATCAATAAGCTCTACTCTATCCAACCTGATCAAATAGTACCACTTTATCCAACCCAATCAAATAGCTCTACTCTATCCAACCCAATCAATAAGCTCTACTCTATCTCATCCGATTAATTATATCTACCCTATCCAACGCAATCAATTGTCTCTACTAGAGACCTGCCGAAAGTATTTTTTCTGATTATCTCAATTATCTCAATTTTCAATTATCTCTACTCTATCCAACCCAATCAATAAGCTCTACTCTATCCAACCTGATCAATTTTCTATATATATATCCAACCCAATCAATAAGCTCTACTCTATCCAACCTGATCAAATAGTACCACTTTATCCAACCCAATCAAATAGCTCTACTCTATCCAACCCAATCAATAAGCTCTACTCTATCTCATCCGATTAATTATATCTACCCTATCCAACGCAATCAATTATCTCTACTAGAGACCTGCCGAAAGTATTTTTTCTGATTTCGGCCGAAACCGAATTCAAAACCAAATTCTTAAAGCGACTTTCGGTCGAAACCGAAGCCGAAACCGAAAGCTTAACGAGACTTTCGGCTGAAACCGAAGCCAAAGCCAAAACTGAAATATTTAGATATTTTGAAATTCATTCACGCATACATTTTGCATACATCGAAAATGAGGGGAGGGGGGGGGAAGTATCAACATGTACATTCCTTTTTTAAAAATAAGATCATCGTAAATATTAATATATAAACATCTATTGCGGCCCGCAAGACGATATTGTGCGGCCCGCTACATGAAAGCGAAGTTTAGTGTTAATGCGTCCGGCTCGTTTTCCCCATTTTCATATCTATAACGTGACACTCCAATCCAATCTACTCTTTCCAATCCAATCAATGATCTCTACTTTATCCAACCCAATCAATTATCTCTACTCTATCCGACCCAATCAATTATCTCTACTCTATCCGACCCAATAAATTATCTATACTCTATCCAACCCAATCAATTATCTCTACTCTATCCGACCCAATCAATTATCTATACTCTATCCAACCTAATCAATTATCTCTACTCTATCCAACCCAATCAATTATCTCTACTCTATCCAACCCAATCAATTATCTCTACTCTATCCAACCCAATCAATTATCTCTACTCTACCCAAACCAATCAATTATCTCTACTCTATCCAACCCAATCAATTATCTCTACTCTACCCAAACCAATCAATTATCTCTACTCTATCCAACCTAATCAATTATCTATACTCTATCCAACCTAATCAATTATCTCTACTCTATCCAACCTAATCAATTATCTCTACTCTATCCAAACCAATCAATTATCTCTACTCTATCCAACCCAATCAATTATCTCTACGCTATCCGACCAAATCAATTATCTATACTCTATCCAACCTAATCAATTATCTCTACTCTATCCGACCCAATCAATTATCTCTACTCTATCCAACCCAATCAATTATCTCTACTCTATCCAACCCAATCAATTATCTCTACTCTATCCAACCCAATCAAGTATCTCTACTCTATCCAACCCAATCAATTATCTCTACTCTATCCAACCCAATCAATTATCACTACTCTATGCGACCCCAGGGTTCGTCAACACATATTGAACCCCGAGACACCACAAAGTAAACGATTCACGAATATAACATGTTCTTTGTTTGGCTACGCTAACTGTTGAGGAGAGACTGTTGAGGAGAGACTGTTGAGGAGAGACTGTTGAGGAGAGACGGTTGAGGAGAGACTGTTGAGGAGAGACTGTTGAGGAGAGACTAAACTGAGTTTGAATTCCAAACATATTTCTGTAGAATCTCAGCGTTGCTCTGAGAGCCTTGAAGTAGACACGGCCGCCTACATACACATACACACCAACACACCAACACACTCCGGTGCTAATATGTTCACATTTCGACCATTGCGTTCCATTTTAAAAAATCTGATGAGTTAAAACTGGTCAAGACCAAGGGGCGTAGCTATGGCTGTTCCGGGAGGGGCAACATTTTTGCCGCCCCTCGCAAATTGCACGAAAAAAAACCCACAACAACAACAACTCTGCAGTTGTCAGACAAATACCGCCTTCAATTAAGAGAAAAAAGTGCCACCCGCGATGGATCACCCCCCCCCCCACTCCGCTCACCCTACCCCACACCACCGTCAAATCAAATCTTCTTTGAAATTAGACAATGTGTTTTATCATCAATTATCAAAATAGGTGTTTTCTGCCCCATATAGCCTGTAATGACGTCATCTAACTAAGTGTACCTTTCGCCCTGACACGTGTTTAGTGTACGGCCGTGACCCCACACATTACTCTTGCTTCCTCTTCGGAAACTCTCAGGGGGAGTTAATCAAGTACCATTAACTTGGAGACAAAACAACACAAAAAAACAACAATAAAAAAAAAAAACGACTGCAGTCTTCTCAAGCGTTACAACAGCGGTCAGCCCTTTCGATACAAACAATAACAACAACAACAACAACTCTGATCGTTTATAGCAGTGGTTCTTAAACTTTGATTTTCAATACAATTCCTCATGTTGTGGTGACGAAACACCCCCCCCCCCACCCACAACAAAATTATTTTCTTTGCTACTTCATAATTGTAGAGTATACGTATTATCCGATGGTCTTAGGCGATCCCTGAGAAAGGGTCGTTCGACCCCCAAAGGGGTCGCGACCCATAGGTTGAGAACCACAGGTTTATAGTCCTTTTAAAGACTTGATTTTTTTGACAATGAGCCTTAAGCCGGAGCTAACACTGTCAACTCGAGGTTTGTGAACAACACTCATTAGACGGATCGAATGAGTTCAGATTTGGAGTGCACTTGATTTCCACGGTAGTGATTCCAGTGACGTCATCAACGCATCCCCTGTTTCCATGGTAGCGGCGCCATTACCATCATCAACGTATCATCTATAAAAATGCTGGGATACGGCCAGTAAATTCTTTCTCTACCAATTAATCATAGCGACCCATAAAAGGGGCAGGCATTTTTTTTTTTACC